TTTGCTTTACAAATTGTACGTGCTTTCCTCCGCTTTGGATATATGTTTTTCTTTGTTTTTTTTTTTGTTTTTTTGATAGACTGGAGAATAGTAATCAATTAGAGCTGGTGCCGGTAAAGTAAAACGTGAAGCAATAAATGCTTATGTTTACGTTAGAATTATATTAGAAATTTATGTATTAAATGATCTACCTTTTTAATTTAAATAATATACTAGGAGTGCCAGTTACTATCGAAATTCGACCGTTTTTAAAGTTTTTTAAGACCCTTAATACGTCGTTTAACTTATAAGGTGCAAAATTACTTACGAGAAAATCTCCTGCTTTTAAATTAAAATGCGACAACATTTTTTAAACCTTTGAAGGTCTTTGTAGGACTGTGACATTCCAGTTTGTCGATAAATTTCTATAATTTGGTACATATAAAAAATTTAATGAAGTTCAATAACACTACAATCTGAAAACTCAACAAAATTCGATGACGCGAGTGCTCGATAAATTACGATATCGATATAAATCGATAGAATTTGAGTACCTCTACACAATTCGATAACTCGGTTAATTTTGATAACACCAAATTTTTCGAAAGCTACAGCAAAAAATTCGATAGCTTATTACACTCCGGTAACACGATAAAAGCCTTTAAGCAGTGATAACTCGATAAACTTGTGTATATTTTGAATATTCCAAAGACTTCGGTCAATAAATATCGATAACTTTATAAATTGAAGGAACATTAATCTAAGCGAAACCATGGCATTTGGGAGTAAATATCTACATACGTCATTCAGAACACATATTCACATATTCATTTATTAGCTGGCATACAAATCTCAAGTTGCTTTCCAGCAGCGGTGAAAGCTTTTATCCTGTGTGATATCAGTTACCGATCATATGGAACTTTTACCATTTGCCAGCCCATATAAAATATTTGAAAAGCTTTAAAAAGCTTACCTCGCGGGCTATGGTTTGCAGGGTAAGATGGACTAAACGCTGGGATCTTTTTTTATGCTTTTTTATACATTTTATATTAGTAATGGACAAACGGAGCTTTTACACAGTGCTCATCTATACAATATATGTACATATATATATGAAAAATGCGCTGTACACGAGGGCAAAGCGCTGCCAGCCACGACCAGGGAGCGCTTTTACCCTGTGCGTCTCCACATGAAACCCATTGTAAGTTCTAAAAAGTTTTTTCGGCGAGATATGTTTTAGTTGTGTTGAGTTAGTAGCTTTCGGTAGATTTAAACTCTGACGAAAACTCCGTCTAACAGGCGCTGATGTAAAACGATTTTGGGCAACGCCAGCGCGTGAGCAGAGCGTCTCTTTTATAAATTTTGTATAGAGAAGGATCATGTAGAATGTCTTTTTGCTCATTACTGATATTAAATTTGTGAAAAGCACTCAAAAATTTTTCGTTAGTCTTCAAACCAAATTATCCCTCGTCAAATTTGGAAAATCGTTCCATCATCCATCACACTCTTACCCTATCGGAAACAATAACAACCAAAATGAGAAGCTCTCTTTATTCTTTGGTGGCTTCCATTTTAAGCTCCCCATAAGTTGTGTATGTATGTGCATATATGTATTTATAAGCATATGTAGATGATAACAGAATAAAAGCTTTCTACGCAGAGTTTTATTTTCACTCTTCCATAGCTGGTTTCAGGAGGTTTGAGACTACAATAAGAATATTACTTAATAAATTTTTTAAAAAGATTTTGAATAAGATCAGTTTATTAACCACCCTCCTGTCAACTGCCAGACTGTTTTCTGACGCTACTAATTCTGACCTATTTTAATTTGTCATCAAAGCACAGTTTTCAGTTAAATTATCTGTAAAGCTAACTCCAAAGCTAATAAATACTTAAAACAGTGATGCACAAAACAGCGCCCGCGGGAGGAAATCTTCACAGTTCTCTATGGACGCGCTCAGAGTAAAAGCTCTCTCTGAGCATCTCTGATTTAAAAAATTGTTGCCATGGAGATAAAGCTTCTGCATCAGAGTATCAACCGTAAGTGGTGTCAACTAGCAGCCAGCTGAGCTTTGGACAATTCATTCGCGGAAAATCGCGAAGTCTGCTTGCAATATTTGTTTTAAAAACTATCACTACTCAGACTTAAAATACTGAGGAAGATTATATACATAATAATCTTTGTCTATACGATTCTTGTGAATGTCTAAAAAAAAAGTTTATACCAAATAAAATGTTCTTTTTATTATTATTATTCAAAAATAAACTTGATCCCTTAACCACACATGAGTTACTTTTGAAATCGTCTAATGCTGGGATTTGTAAAAGTCTCGTAGATTGTCACGCATAGTGAGAGCTTTTTGCTAACACAAACAACCACACGAGTAAAAAAATACATACAAGTAAGTAAATAGCACATACAGATTTATTTAGGTAAGTAAGTATGTGGTGCTCATGACATTCCCTCGAGTCGATATCTATTGAAAGACTACGAATTTTTTAACGCGCTCCACAGGCGTCAACTCAAGTGGATTTTCAGTAAAAACAATGGAAGTGAGATTACAAGTAGCGCGCGCGCAAAAAACAAAAAACAACGCATTGCGCCACCCAGACGACTTTCAATGAAAATGTGCAGACATATGAAGTTACTATTATAATAAATACATACATAGTTGCGGTATAATGATGTGAGGATAAAGCTGTNAAACGCATTGTGCCACCCAGACGACTTTCAATGAAAATGTGCAGACATATAAAGTTACTATTATAATAAATACATACATAGTTGCGGTATAATGATGTGAGGATAAAGCTGTCGGCAGTTAAATCGAGTCGAAAGCGAGCGCGTGCGCTTGGGGGATCAAATGCTGTCAGCACACAAAATCCAAGTTATTCACATACATATGTACTCAAGTAGCACACTGGTGTATAACTTGGTGCAAATTTACGAATTTTGGNTTATAATAAATACATACATAGTTGCGGTATAATGATGTGAGGATAAAGCTGTCGGCAGTTAAATCGAGTCGAAAGCGAGCGCGTGCGCTTGGGGGATCAAATGCTGTCAGCACACAAAATCCAAGTTATTCACATACATATGTACGTAAGCATAAATGTTTCGCCAGTGTGGGTGGATGTGTGTATGTTTTATTTATGTGTACAGTTGAGCATCAAAAGTTGGAATCAGGAAAATTTTTTAAGNTTTCACAAATTTATACCAAGTTATACACCAGTGTGCTACTTGAGTACGTAAGCATAAATGTTTCGCCAGTGTGGGTGGATGTGTGTATGTTTTATTTATGTGTACAGTTGAGCATCAAAAGTTGGAATCAGGAAAATTTTTTAACTTTCAACCAAATTACTTACGTACTTACATACATACAAAAGTGTGTAGTACCTGTTGAATAAGTCAGTGACTTTTTGAATTTTCGGCGTAGTCACTTTGAATGCAACACTCCTATCAACAACCTCTATTAGTAGACTACTATCGAATTTGAGCAATATACATAGGTAATTTAAATTGTGCTTGATATCCACTGAAAACAGGCAACTTAGAAATTCTTACGAAAATTGACGAAGATAAATTTCGTGCCACTGCAAGCACTGGTTTTTTATGCAAAAAAAATAATAATTAACTATTTTATTTTACATTATTTTATGTATATTAATTTAATTTATTTAGTTTTTTTATATTTTTATCATTTTACTCTATTTAATTTTACCTAATTTAATTTAATTTTATACTCCAAAAAAGGTTCAGATTGGCTTGTGATCCTCATATTTGCCCTAACACTGTATTTGTTGATACTCTTACATAATAAATATGTACATACTATGTAAATATGTATTTGTGTCTGTGCGGCAGCGTTTATGCCCNGTTTCAACCAAATTACTTTCGTACTTACATACATACAAAAGTGTGTAGTACCTGTTGAATAAGACAGTGACTTTTTGAATTATCGGCGTAGTCACTTTGAATGCAACACTCCTACCAACAACCATCTATTAGTAGACTACTATCAAATTTGGGCAACTTAGAAATTCTTACGAAAATTGATGAAGATAAATTTCGTGCCTCTGCAAGCACTGGTTTTTCATGCAAAAAAATAACAATTAACTATTTTATTTTATTTTATTTTACATTAGTTTATGTATATTAATTTAATTTATTTCGTTTTTTTATATTTTTATCATTTTACTCTATTTAACTTTACCTAATTTAATTTAATTTTATACTCTAAAAATTTTCTATTGGCTTGTGATCCTCATATTTGCCCTAACACTGTATTTGTTGATACTCTTACATAATATATACATACTATGTAAATATGTATTTGTGTCTGTGCGGCAGCGTTTATGCCCTGCAAATTGTGGCACAACAAATCTGCATATCAATGTTTCTGTCAAAACGTGAAATTTCCATTTGAATTGATAAACCGAGATTCACTACCGACAGTCCCATTCCGTATATTTTTTTTTTGTTTGTTCTCTCCTCAAGCTTTTGTTTTTCACGCTACTCTTATATCTCGCCTTCTTTAGGTTATCCAACCATTGTAACCATCTTCGTTTGTATGTATGTATGTATGTTTCGTTGTGTTATTGTAACCTTTGCATAAATTTCGAAGTAAATCGAAGAGCTTCGCATAAAATTTTAGCTTAGCAAGAAATGAAGGCTAAGGATGAGCAAACCAGGGATGACGGGGTGGCTAGAAATGGTGGCAGGCAAGTAGAAGAAATGCGTATTTTGTCTGGTGGATTTGCGTCGTAATCTGAAATTGATATGCTTCGAGACCTACTACAGTGAAATTTGTCAGCAATTCTTTGCTGTTGTTTGCTCTTATTCTCGACAATGAAATCAATTGAATGCTTATATAAGTAAATGTAAAACATCTTTTGACCAAATATATTTATGCACAATTTTCGTCTTTAGTGTGAATGAATTTTTATGCGTCTTTCTTGTTAGCAATGCCTACGATAATATATATGTACATATAACTAATTTTTATATATAGATTACTTACATTGCACTTTAAGCGTCAAGCTGTTGCTGCGCGTTTCTCCCTCCGTATTGGCTGCACCACACGCATACGCACCCGCACTCTCGCGCAGCAGCTGAGTCAGATGCAATATCTCTGTACTCTCACCAGACATACGCATGCCCTGCAATGAAGAAGAAAATAGGGAAATTTTCAAAGGTTAAACAATTCTGCAACGAATCCCAATAAATAATTAAAAATTATGAAATGTAAGGGTAAGTATGTATGTAAAAGCTTTGTTAGCTTATTTCCTCAAACTTACATACACACGTACATAGTACAGATATGTATGTATGTATATCGACATAAATATATACATCTTTACATACGTAAATGTGCAACAAAGAGTAACTTTTATTAAAGTTGATACGCGTAATATAGCAAAAGGGGCGCATTCGCACAATTTGCTTCAATTATTGCTTTCCCTTCGACGCACGTTCGAGTAAAATAGCTGAGAAAATTACCGCCAATTGTACGCTAGTTAACCCAGAAAAAGAATGAAAAGCAAAGAAATTGGCAATACAACAACATGAAAGCCGACCGGCATCTACGGCAACCGCAAGCGGTGCAATGCGTAGCTGGTAGTATTTCCGTTTCGGAAATTTTCCGTTAGACCGGCTATAAACGTCGCTATGTAGCCCCTATTAACTATGGCGCTGTCCAATAATACTGCTTCATATAATGTCCTACGCTATTCTTCTATATTTTTTTTTTTTTTTTTATGAAGATTGCAAATACTATTTAACAATTGTTATGTCCCTGTTAGGGTCCCTGCTGCTCCCGTAGGGTTCTCCTGCTGTAAATTTTTTCGCGCTGGTTATATGTAGCTCTAAGCACATTTTCTTTTGTAAATTTTCCTTTGCGCTTTCACAGATTTGTCATGCCAACCACGAACACAATACAAATTTTAAATGATCTGTAAAAATTGGAAATAAAAAGGTTGTGNCAAATTTTCAAAGGTTAAACAATTCTGCAACGAATCGCAATAAATAGTTAAAAATTATGAACTGTAAAGGTAAGTATGTATGTAAAAGCTTTGTTAGCTTATTTCCTCAAACTTACATACACACATACATAGTACAGATATGTATGTATGTATATCGACATAAATATATACATCTTTACATACGTAAATGTGCTACAAAGAGTAACTTTTATTAAAGTTGATACGCGTAATATAGCAAAAGGGGCGCATTCGCACAATTTGCTTCAATTATTGCTTTCCTTTCGACGCACGTTCGAGTAAAATAGCTGAGAAAATTACCGCCAATTGTACGCTAGTTAACCCAGAAAAAGAATGAAAAGCAAAGGAATTGGCAATACAACAACATGAAAGCCGACCGGCATCTACGGCAACCGCAAGCGGTGCAATGCGTAGCTGGTAATATTTCCGTTTCGGAAATTTTCCGTTAGACCGGCTATAAACGTCGCTATGTAGCCCCTATTAACTATGGCCTAGCCCAATAATACTGCTTCATATAATGTCCTACGCTATTCTTCCATATATTTTTTTTTTTTTATGAAGATTGCAAATACTATTTAATAATTGTTATGTCCCTGTTAGGGTCCCTGCTGCTCCGGTAGGGTTCTCCTGCTGTAATTTTTTTCGCGCTGGTTATATGTAGCTCTAAGCACATTTTCTTTTGTAAATTTTCCTTTGCGCTTTCACAGATTTGTCATGCCAACCACGAATACAATACAAATTTTAAATGATCTGTAAAAATTGGAAATAAAAAGGTTGTGATTACAATTATGCGCATAAGGTATGAATTGTTTCAACAGCCAATGTTAAATTTATTTTAGGTCATTGAATTTCAGTTTTTTCTTCGCAGGTTGATGTTTCATCATAGACTGAGAAAAAAAAAAAGGCAAATTGTGTTTGTTTTAAGTTAAAAACCCACAGGATTTGGCGCTAAGTGGTCTTTTATAAATATAAATACTTTAAACTGACTTTTGTTGGCGATTTTTTTTGAAAAAATATGCACTTTTTAATTGTTTTTTTTTATAGTTCAGTTACAAAATATTTATTTCTTTTTATGACTTTAACATATGTACATATTTCATCTGACAGCATTCGAACCATTTAAGCTACAAATAATAGAAAGCACTTTTGCGCACTCAGCTACAGCCAGTACCGGTAAATTTGACTTATTATGGAACGAATTTCCGTTATACCTTGACAAGTGTACATTTCCGACTCATCATATTTCTAAATGGCAGTGCAATAGGTGTAAACTCTACTTTGTAAGCGAAGCAGGTCACGTCTAGGCCAAGAAGTGCCAATTGATGTGTTAACATAAGACTATATTAAGTAGTTCCAATTTGCATAGCGTTCTAGCTATCTTTGATGGGAGATATAAAGATATTTAGATAAGTGTATTGCTAAATGAAAATATATTTCCATCTTTTATTCAAAGCGGATGTAATCATTAAGCAGGAAAGATTTTAAGCCACGCGCCATAATCGTACATGGCGTATGAGTAACGGTATCCACTTGATAAAGTTATAAGAAATTAACATGAGCCGATTTTNTGACTTTTGTTGGCGATTTTTTTTGAAAAAATATGCACTTTTTAAATGTTTTTTTTATAGTTCAGTTACAAAAAATTTTTTTTTTTATGACTTTAACATACATATTTCATCTGACAGCATTCGAACCATTTAAACTACAAATAATAGCAAGCAATTTTTCGCACTCAGCTACAGCCAGTACCGGTAAATTTGACTTATTATGGAACGAATTTTCGTCATACCTTGACAAGTGTACATTTCCGACTCATCATATTTCTAAATGGCAATGCAATAGGTGTAAACTCTACTTTGTAAGCGAAGCAGGTCACGTCTAGGCCAAGAAGTGTCCACTGTTATGTTAACATAAGAATATATTAAGTAGTTCCAATTTGCATAGCGTTCTAAAGGGTGATTTTTTTGAGGTTAGGATTTTCATGCATTAGTATTTGACAGATCACGTGGGATTTCAGACATGGTGTCAAAGAGAAAGATGNGATAAGTGTATTGCTAAATGAAAATATATTTCCATCTTTTATTCAAAGCGGATGTAATCATTAAGCAGGAAAGATTTTAAGCCACGCGCCATAATCGTACATGGCGTATGAGTAACGGTATCCACTTGATAAAGTTATAAGAAATTAACATGAGCCGATTTTGCAGCCAGCCAACATTTAGTTGAATGCAGCAGTTGCTTGGTGTAAATGGTCTTTCAACTAATCAAGAGAAGCTTTTCTTCAAGGCGGAAATACACTCGGAGTGAAAGTGCTGTGTATTTAAGTATTTTGGATGTCAGTAAATGATTGTATTCACATAATTAAGGTGCGCTAACGACATTGAGGAAATATATATGTATGTATAGTTAAGTATTTTAACANTGCAGCCAGCCAACATTTAGTTGAATGCAGCAGTTGCTTGGTGTAAATGGTCTTTCAACAAATCAAGAGAAGCTTTTCTTCAAGGCGGAAATACACTCGGAGTGAAAGTGCTGTGTATTTAAGTATTTTGGATCTAAGTAAATGATTGTATTCACATAATTAAGATGCGCTAACGACATTGAGGAAATATATATGTATGTATAGTTAAGTATTTTAACAGCTCTAAATACTAATTAATTTAATATATTAAGTTATTTTTACGCAACAAAATACCACGTGCAATAGAATACAATATAACATTTCTAGTTATTTAGCATCTATCATCACTTTAAATAAATAAAAAAGCTTGTTACTTTAGTGCTTAGTAGCTTCTTAAACTCGACATATTTAAATACAAAGTACCCAAATTTGGTATCCAAACAAGTACCTGTCTCAATTGTTTGCAGTATTTTAAAGCAACTTTAAAACAACAAATCTATGTATGTTCACATTTAAGTACACACTTGCCCATCTCTAGAAGCTGTGCAAGACAACAGTTATTGTTGATAAATAACAGCAGACCCAAGCCAACTATACATATGTCTAATATAAAAAAAAAATATAAAAAAAATTTAACAAGAACTTGCAGCAAATATTTTCATTGCTTACTAAATCGATTCATTTCCTATTTGCAACTGACACTCACTTTCCATATTCTCCGCTCTCTAACACTTTTCAAGCCAGTAGTCTGCCAAAAGTCAGTAACTTTTTGAATTCAAGATAGTTTTTTTGCCAAATAAAAAGTTTTCCTTCTCTACACGGTGTCCTTTTTGCTCGATGCAATGTTTGATAGTAGTTAACAGGACACATTCCGAGTAGATCAAAGCATTCCAAATTCTATGAGAAAGTCTTCATGCAGGAAGTTTTTCGAAAGCGTTCGAAGCTTTAGTTTTCCCTTTGATTTTTAAGCTTCATAATGCTGCACAGTGTCACGACAATATAGAGGCAGGTGGAACAAAATCATGGTGAGAGTCAATAAAATAAGCAGGTAGGGCTTAGNTAAAAAAAAATATAAAAAAAATTTAACAAGAGCTTGTAGCAAATATTTTCATTGCTTACTAAATCGATTCGTTTCCTATTTGCAACTGACACTCACTTTCCATATTCTTCCGCTCTCTGACACTATTCAAGCCAGTAGTCTGCCAAAAGTCAGTAACTTTTTGAATTTAAGATAGTTTTTTTGCCAAATAAAGAGTTTTCCTTCTCTACACGGTGTCAATTTTGCTCGATGCAATGTTTGATAGTAGTTAACAGGACACATTCCGAGTAGATCAAAGCATTCCAAATTCTATGAGAAAGTCTTCATGCCGGAAGTTTTTCGAAAGCGTTCGAAGCTTTAGTTTTCCCTTTGATTTTTAAGCTTCATAATGCTGCACAGTGTTTCGACAATATGGAGGCAAGTGGAACAAAATCATGGTGAGAGTCAATAAAATAAGCAGGTAGGGCTTAGGGAGGGAAGAGTAAAAGTCATAAATACAAAATTTTACATAATTTCCTTTTTGGATTATGACACTATTAAAGTAAATAAGCGATATGGTCATATGAGTTTATGAGTATTAGAAATTTTAGTTGTTGTTGGTGTAGCTACACGTAAATTAAGCTTTAAATGGACTGTTGCTTATACAAATTTATTTTACTATTTAATCAAAACAGAATAATTTTTCAATTAATCGTACATTGTTAAGTAAAGTAACAAGAG